TTTTATTGCACACTTTCGTGTGATCGACGGCAGACGGGGAAAGCCCCATAGTCACGAGAACCTGTTGTTCAGTGATGGAAACCGGTAACCTAAGCCCCCCGGAACTTGGAGTGGCGAACCATATAAGGCCCCGCACTAGGTTAGGTGTAGTATTGAACCGGGCGACAGTAAAGCTGCCTACTACCAAAGTTCGGTGGTGTGGCTCAAACTTCAAACCATGGGGTTCAAAGTACGCCTGTGAAAACGACGAAACCACTGCACCACCACCACCATCACCCATCAGACACGTTACTATGTACAGCAATTTTGTCATCTCTCTCTCTCGTCCGGAGAATCGATTGATTTGTGCAAACGCTGTATGTGACAGAATNTGACAGAATAACTTACACATTTTAAGTATATCTCATTAAAGAAAAAAAAACAGCATATGGGTTTCAACTCGAAGACAGGTATGACGGCGAATTGCTCTCCAGTTCGTTCACTGGTGTGAATACGGAGTTATGAATGTGAAATACTTACCGAGCTCTCTGCAATTTCGAAGCGACTGCCGGATCGATCCATTGACCGTAGACCGTCTCGGGGGACTGCAATCAATGTAAACGAAAGCAATATATATATGTATGCCAATTAAGCACATAAATAATGTGAATCTTCCCGACATATATGTGCATTCAATTTGCGATTGTACATCCCAGTTTCAGAGAGAGAGAGAGCGAGAGAGAGCGAGAGAGCGAGAGCGAGAGAGAGCGAGAGAGCGAGAGAGAGAGAGCGAGAGAGAGAGCGAGAGAGAGGGGGGGGAGAATCACAGGAGTGGGAAAGTCAGAACACAATCTTCTGACCATCTCGCTGACAATCTGCAACACTCGGTTACTGTCACATAATATTAATAATAATAATAATAGCAGCAATACTAAAGTGCATCTTCCAGGCTGAAAGTAAAATCATGTCACAGTTACAGTACCATACTTTGGTTCCACACTGTGGACGAGGAAAGTTATTTATTAGGGACAACGATAATGCTGTCGATAAATTGACATACACACAACAAAACGTGTCTCATTTGCAACAGATCTTCTGAATTCCCCCAAGCACATCGGATAGTTACTGGAGGATGGTGGATGCACATTTCCCGTAGTACACCATTTTGTGAACACAGTTTTTCCCGTTCGTTTGTGCAATCCAAACAAAACTGTCGGTTCCTGAAAACTGATCGAGAAAATCCATCCCATTATTTATTTGATATTGGACGGTTTTGAAGACATCAGTTTCACCGGGACGTACCGAAACTTATTATGTTTGAATTCCACGGGAGTATTTCAAGCAAACTTGTGCGATATACTGTAAATTTTTGATAGAGAAAAATTCTCATTGCCATATTGTTAAACAAAGTCCACTAGGTGAATCAAGATGTTTCGGTTCGCTAAATTCATCATTTTTTCATTACCATTGTATGGGGTTTATTGAGATTCCCGGATTTGGTTTTCACCGCATCAAACCATGTGCATCAATTTTTGTTAAATTTATGTGATTATCGTAGCCTAGTCGAGATGACGCATACCACGGGAAGCGACGCGTTAGAATTTTCGGACAACTGTGATCAATCAAGCGTTATGGGTAAAGTCAGCAAAGCGCGTGCGTGCTACATCTTCTGGACCAATCAGAAACTGTGGGGCCCAAACGGAAGCTCAACAACACCAGAAATTTGAGCACGCGATTGGCTGAGGCTTGGATGACTAATGAACTTGTTTTATACATACTATTTAACCCCCCCTTATTTCTTTCAATAAACGAACTGCAATTCCCTTGGCCTTTTCCTCGCGTCTCGGTTACCTGGGATACTGTCATGCCAGTATCAGTGCGATCCGTTGTTTACTTTGCATCCCTGATTTTTGATAATTGATTCGTATTCCGTGATCAGTACAAATTACAATTAATATACTTTAGTTACCTGATTGTGCTGTCGGCCAGGTCATTTTTCAGTTGTCGTGACCACTAGACTCACCTTTCTCATTTCTACCGTGTTTTTTATTGAAGAATTTCTACATCATCAAATTCTACGTCATCAAATTATCACCCCCAGAAGGTGTGCGGTCGAATCCCACCACAATCACCCAACTTTCTTCAATCTGTGTTCTGTGGTAGCCCTCTGATTGGCTGTTTCCTCCTTTGTGAAAATTGTATCAAATACGAAAACTCAGGCAGTTTCGCGTGTCCCGGTTAGTTATTTCTACTTTTGTTTATCAATGTGTTTTCCCCATCTTATTCTACTATTCCCCGGTTATTTTTCCTGGTTTATTCAAACAGGATTTCAAAGTCTTACACCCCGATCTAACCATTATTAGTCGTGTCTCTTCTATTCCTGTGAATGAATTAGCTGTAAAGCTTTCAGAGTATCACGTAACTTCCTATGTGCAATTTACTGAAAGGATTCTCACAGATCCTAACCATCTATTGCATGCAGAACTGACACGTTTCAATCATTCAACACGCTCCCAATCCCACCAAATTGCATGTCGAATTAACGCATATCGCAATTCACCCATACCGGATCTTGCTCGTCTACTCACAAACAAAGAGCGGACAATAAGTGAACTTTGTCTTAACCTTGGATTATGAATGTCCTCACGCCTGTGAAAATGTTTCTCCCCATTGATTATGTACATTGTGACCGTTGGTGTGTATGATGTTTTAACTGAAATGTGAGCTCCAGTGCGTGCAAAAGTTATACGCAATACAATACAATATCAGTGTCTAAACAATAAAAGGAAGTAAAATTGAAAAATACAAAAAATGATTGAATTTGCCCAGTTTTGCCAAATGACCTCGGTATTTTACCTCGATCGCCCGAAAACAACATCGCGGAAAAATCGTTGAAGATAAAACGTGACATAACAACACGTATTTCATGTAACTAAACCACATGAATGCATACTGATATACATATTTATATTTGTCGATGCATAGATGATTTTACATGTTTGCATTATCCATTGTGTTTGCGTATGACTCGTTGGTATATAGATATACGATAGAGGCATTCAACTTCGTATAGACCAAACACTGTAAATAAGTAATAATTTGATTAGTATGGGAGTAGACAAACAAACTCCTGTAACCAAAACATGAGCTCAAAACGGGCTGCAGGATTCTGAAACAGCCAAAATACAAGCTCAACCGAAAATCTGGATCAGACATGAAGAAGCTTCTACTCTCCCAAATCACATCAGCATTACTCTTAAGCTTACGTAAGATTTCCGAGAAATTTCCGGATTCCGGGACTGTGCGCGGTACTCCATCATTGTGTTCACAGAATTCGCGGCCTCTCGCGTTTTCTGTTCAATACGAGACACACTGCGAGCCAGTTCTGCGTAGTCATCACGAAGACGATCGAGAATTTGATGCGTCGAAACGACCTGTGAATCCATTTGTTGCACACGATCCATCCAGTGCGCACGATTTGTCGATCTCGGTCTGTCCACCCAGTCCTCGATCGATTTCGGATCCGCTTCGTCCGATAGACTGTCCGAATCCCGCCTTTGCTCCGCGTGCGGTACATGATGGACCATTGGCTCGGCATATTGGGTCCATTGAGTACTGGTCGTATCTATCGGTTTTTCAGCATAATCTCCAACAATAACCGGCCTCAAAGGACTGAGGGGCCAACTATGATCCCCGAACTCTTGAAGGCGATCTGTATTGTTCTTGATCAATTCAGCTTGCGTTTGTTGCTTTGTGAAATACACGTGACCCCCCCCAGGGGCGAATTGGAACCAGAAACAAATCGATAGTGATGAAACGAAAAGAAACCCATGATTAGAACAATCGCATATTGATCAATTTTTGTTGAACACCGATAGTAAAAAGGTCAGAATTAATCAAGTAATTTTTGATCATATCCTGATAGTTGTTTTGTCTCATTGAGTAGAAGTGGAGAGAGAATTGTTACCCGTGCGACAGAGGAACATCAGCCGTCCAGTGCCGCGAATAAAAATTCAGCTGTAGCAATTCAATAATGAGACTGTTCACTCCGAACGGGGATGAATCGCCTTGGTTACAATATGGTGCAGCGGAATACAGTCTGACATTTTGATACCAGCATTTAAATGATTTCCATTTTGAGGTGAACATGGAGTTGAGATGAAAGGAATATATCTTTAATTTGCATTTTATCAACAGTCACTGGTATATATATAGTGGTAGGCGACAGACGAAAATAATTTGTGGATATCATTGGTCAGACAAAATTTTTAAACAAACCTCCATGTATTCAGTCAATCATACACTCAGCAAACACCACGGACTCAGGTAACGCTCACAAGTAGTGAATATCTGCCCTCGCGTCTCAGATTTGAGAGCAAAACTAGTCTACAGTGCTTCCGGACTCCATGGTCAAATGGATCGGCTGCGGTGTGCATGTCTGCGTAGATCAAGTTTGAACGGTGCGAAGCTCAAATCAATATATAAGCTTACACTACTCATAAGTAGTCAACTTGTTTTCAACGTTATTACATAACGTTACTTTGCTCCAACGAAAAATTAATTCATCTAACCACCTTCAGTTATTTTCCACAATTGAACCCATAATCTGATTGGAAAATTCGGATCCCGGAAGACTGTCAGTAGATTAAATTTATTTATATCTGGTTCAAATGTCGCGGCAGTGAAACTTCGGAAGCTCGGGAAAATTTAGATAAATTGGACATAAGTCCAATTTGTTGCATATGCAACGAAATTTTTCCATCAGAACATAAGCTGAGAGAGAGAAAACCGATCATTTCAAAGCAAAACGATAGTTGTATTTGATCACAGCAGAGAACAGTTGCACACAAGCAATCTGGAGGATAGTCCGGGCCGATTGGCCGTTTTTTCCTCACGCTTTCGTTTGGAAAACGACGGTCCAATTTAAAATGCAGCGGAGGCCACGTGATATGAAGCTGTTATGGAGCGCCTAACAGAGCAGACCAATTGTTAATTTTGTCAACAAACTGAAATTGCGTCGTCCGTCCATTTGGCAATGGGTTGATCTCACTGGTAGCCAACGAGTAATCCAGCATGCGGTGAAAGCTGATTTACTAAGCTAGTTTCTCAATGAATTTCATTTTGCCTGCTAAAAGAAATAAATATTCATCCCTCCTCACGAGTTAGAACGAAAATAAATACCGCGTGCCTTGTTATTGGCCTCATGCACACACCAATTATGATATCGCAAAATGTTTTTCACTGATACGGGAGGTTTTCGGTAACTGGTAATCTTTAAATGCATTCGCAGAAGTTAAATTATTTTCACAGATGAAGGAAGGGTATATCTCCTCGCTTGAGGTTTGTAGTAGAAAGCCGTTAGGCCGAATTAAATATTATTTTACACATTTGTGTAGTCTCTTGAGGGGTTAAATTCAATGACAAATTCGTTCAATTATCACGCAACAGTTGGGATTTTAATTTGATTGAAAACTTTTCCCTGTATCAGAAACAGGGATAAGTTATCTACCTCGACATTATTCGTCAGTGGTAAGGGTTTGCGGTGTAGTAGAGGAAAGTTGCAAATTTTGTTTGGCAGTCACCTTCGTGGACTCCATACTAAAACGACTGCCTGCAGTGTTCAAAAATGAAGCTGGGCAAATGGAACATGGTAGAGATGAATGTACAATGCCTGTATGAGTAATTTTAATAAATAAATTCTAGTTACATTTTCTATTGTGACTTTGTTATTATACAACTGATTCACCAGCAGCAAAGGTCAAAATCGAGAAATTGCACATTTTAGTTTGCATGTGGCTAATAGAAACAAAAACATAAGTGGGGATTATATCAGATATGTTGTTGCCTCTGATGTCATGTTTAATCCCACGTGAATGAGGCTGGAAAAATGAGGCATTGGGAGGAACAAATGTAATGAAAATCGGTATATTGCACGAGTTTTGTCATAACCTGTGATGTGGAGAATGATTGGAGCTCTGGATACGGATGTTCTTCGAGTTAGAAGCGTTGTTCACTCGGGTACAAAACGTGTGCGAACAATGCTTTCAGCTCGGATATCATCCTCCGGCACCAATAATGTATATACCTTGTTACACAAATCAATAATCATGCTATCTGGAGGTATCTGAGGTATCTAGGGGAAAAGCATATTCACAGTGTGACAGATAATTTTCATTCATTACCTTGGAAATCAGTTTGTCCACCATTTGACGTGCTTTACGCAATGTGATCTCACGTTCGATTTGGAGCCGTTGCAATTCACCCAACCGAGTGCGTAATGCATAGTTCGCAGTGGACAAAGCCTCAATTCGACTGTCCGAATAGGGCAAATCTGGTTTCACCACTTGAGATCGATGACGTACAACTGTGGGACTGCTGGCATGATAAATGAAGGAGGATTGTATCCGATAAAAATTAGAGGTTTTTCCTGCTATTAACGATAGCTCAAATAAGATAATCGCTTTTTATCGTAAAACAAAGACCGAGAAAATAAAATAAAGACACTTTCTTCACATTTGTATTCGACGAAAAATGTGTCACAGTGATAGGATTCATTATTCCGGCTTTCATCATTACAATTCGGATATCGATTCGAACGAAAAATACACCCTACATTTGTTTTATTACCCACCTTAGTAATCAAGGACATTCACCCTTCCATCGTGAGGCAGAACCCCGAGACATATCGTGTCGGATCACATACG